TTTTGGCTACCTAACCTAACCTTACCTATAAATATAGGTTAGGTTAGGTTAGGTAGGGTTGGTTAGGTTCGGTCATATATCTACGTTAATTTTAACTCCAATAACAAAAAATTGACCTCATACATAGAGAAAAGGGTTGCTTTATCATTTCATGAGAAAAAAATTATAGTAAATATATTAATTCAGGAAAACTTGGCTTATTAGGCAAATCGGGCCTTGAATAGTAGGCTGAGAAGTGAGTTCTGGCTACTAGGTACGACATATATTTATATATATATATATATATATATATATATATATATATATATATATATATATATATATATATATTAGTATATTTTGGTAGCAGTCTTTCCTGTAGACATATATTATTAAATATGACCGAAAAAGTAAGATTAATAATTCTAACACGAATTTTCTCAATCTTTCGTACATTACGCTTCACTGTTGGAGGTAAATCAAAAATCACTTCTCCAAAATTCATTTTTATTTCTAGTCTGACGCGACACGGGCGCGTTTCGTAAAACTTATTACATTTTCAAAGACTTCACAAATACACAACTGATTAGAACTTACGTCTCTCTGATATTATATCTACATTTGAGTGAGGTGGGAAGGGTGATGTGGCATTAACACGACAGAACAGGAGGGGATATTAATAGGGTATTAAAAGTATCAACACAAGACAGAACAGAAACAATGGGTATTGAATAGAAGTGTTTGTAGAAAGCCTATTGGTCCATATTTCTTGATGCTTCTATATTGGAGCGGAGTCTTGAGGTGGGTAGAATATAGTTGTGCAATAATTGGCTGTTGATTGCTGGTGTTGACTTCTTGATGTGTAGTGCCTCGCAAACGTCAAGCCGTCTGCTATCGCTGTATCTATCGATGATTTCTGTGTTGTTTACTAGGATTTCTCTGGCGATGGTTTGGTTGTGGGAAGAGATTATATGTTCCTTAATGGAGCCCTGTTGCTTATGCATCGTTAAACGCCTAGAAAGAGATGTTGTTGTCTTGCCTATATACTGGGTTTTTTGGAGCTTACAGTCCCCAAGTGGGCATTTGAAGGCATAGACGACGTTAGTCTCTTTTAAAGCGTTCTGTTTTGTGTCTGGAGAGTTTCTCATGAGTAGGCTGGCCGTTTTTCTGGTTTTATAGTAAATCGTCAGTTGTATCCTCTGATTTTTGTCTGTAGGGATAACGTTTCTATTAACAATATCTTTCAGGACCCTTTCCTCTGTTTTATGAGCTGTGGAAAAGAAGTTCCTGTAAAATAGTCTAATAGGGGGTATAGGTGTTGTGTTAGTTGTCTCTTCAGAGGTTGCATGGCTTTTCACTTTCCTTCTTATGATGTCTTCGATGAAACCATTGGAGAAGCCGTTATTGACTAGGACCTGCCTTACCCTACAGAGTTCTTCGTCGACTTGCTTCCATTCTGAGCTGTGGCTGAGAGCACGGTCGACGTATGCGTTAACAACACTCCTCTTGTACCTGTCGGGGCAGTCGCTGTTGGCATTTAGGCACATTCCTATGTTTGTTTCCTTAGTGTAGACTGCAGTGTGGAAACCTCCGCCCTTTTCCATGACTGTTACATCTAGAAAAGGCAGCTTCCCATCCTTTTCCGTCTCGTAAGTGAAACGCAGCACGGAACTCTGCTCAAATGCCTCCTTCAGCTTCTGCAGATGTCTGACATCAGGTACCTGTGTAAAAATGTCGTCAACATACCTGCAGTATATGGCCGGTTTCAAGTTCATGTCGACTAGGACTTTTTGCTCGATGGTACCCATGTAGAAGTTTGCAAACAGGACACCTAGGGGAGAACCCATGGCGACCCCATCTACTTGCTTATACATGTGCCCATCCGGGCTCAAGAAGGGTGCCTCTTTAGTACAAGCTTGGAGTAGTTTCCTCAGAATACTTTCTGGCATGTCAAGAGGAGTACAGGCTGGATCAGATACCCACACCCACGTACAGACTGGCAAAGCGACTCAACGGCCTGCTGACTCCTTATGTTCCTTGCGCCTTCAGCCTGAAGTCTCCAAAGGAATTTGTGGACTTACTGCGGGGCACACGGGCCACAGGGATAAGAGCCTCGTTGGACGTAGAATCGCTGTTTACCAACGTACCTGTGGACGAGACAATCGGAATGATAGCCGACAGAGTGTATCGTGATCCAGCCTGTACTCCTCTTGACATGCCAGAAAGTATTCTGAGGAAACTACTCCAAGCTTGTACTAAAGAGGCACCCTTCTTGAGCCCGGATGGGCACATGTATAAGCAAGTAGATGGGGTCGCCATGGGTTCTCCCCTAGGTGTCCTGTTTGCAAACTTCTACATGGGTACCATCGAGCAAAAAGTCCTAGTCGACATGAACTTGAAACCGGCCATATACTGCAGGTATGTTGACGACATTTTTACACAGGTACCTGATGTCAGACATCTGCAGGAGCTGAAGGAGGCATTTGAGCAGAGCTCCGTGCTGCGTTTCACTTACGAGACGGAAAAGGATGGGAAGCTGCCTTTTCTAGATGTAACAGTCATGGAAAAGGGCGGAGGTTTCCACACTGCAGTCTACACTAAGGAAACAAACATAGGAATGTGCCTAAATGCCAACAGCGACTGCCCCGACAGGTACAAGAGGAGTGTTGTTAACGCATACGTCGACCGTGCTCTCAGCCACAGCTCAGAATGGAAGCAAGTCGACGAAGAACTCTGTAGGATAAGGCAGGTCCTAGTCAATAACGGCTTCTCCAATGGTTTCATCGAAGACATCATAAGAAGGAAAGTGAAAAGCCATGCAACCTCTGAAGAGACAACTAACACAACACCTATACCCCCTATTAGACTATTTTACAGGAACTTCTTTTCCACAGCTCATAAAACGGAGGAAAGGGTCCTGAAAGATATTGTTAATAGAAACGTTATCCCTACAGACAAAAATCAGAGGATACAACTGACGATTTACTATAAAACCAGAAAAACGGCCAGCCTACTCATGAGAAACTCTCCAGACACAAAACAGAACGCTTTAAAAGAGACTAACGTCGTCTATGCCTTCAAATGCCCACTTGGGGACTGTAAGCTCCAAAAAACCCAGTATATAGGCAAGACAACGACATCTCTTTCTAGGCGTTTAACGATGCATAAGCAACAGGGCTCCATTAAGGAACATATAATCTCTTCCCATAACCAAACCATCGCCAGAGAAATCCTAGTAAACAACACAGAATTCATCGATAGATACAGCGATAGCAGGCGGCTTGACGTTTGCGAGGCACTACACATCAAGAAGTCAACACCAGCAATCAACAGCCAATTATTGCACAACTATATTCTACCCACCTCAAGACTCCGCTCCAATATAGAAGCATCAAGAAATATGGACCAATAGGCTTTCTACAAACACTTCTATTCAATACCCATTGTTTCTGTTCTGTCTTGTGTTGATACTTTTAATACCCTATTAATATCCCCTCCTGTTCTGTCTTGTGTTAATGCCACATCACCCTTCCCACCTCACTCAAATGTAGATATAATATCAGAGAGACGTAAGTTCTAATCAGTTGTGTATTTGTGAAGTCTTTGAAAATGTAATAAGTTTTACGAAACGCGCCCGTGTCGCGTCAGACTAGAAATAAAAATGAATTTTGGAGAAGTGATTTTTGATTTACCTCCAACAGTGAAGCGTAATGTACGAAAGATTGAGAAAATTCGTGTTAGAATTATTAATCTTACTTTTTCGGTCATATTTAATAATATATATATATATATATATATATATATATATATATATATATATATATAATATAAAAACAGTGGGTTTGGAATTGACCACATTGCAGATTATTATATTTATAGCTAATAAGAGTAAGGTCAAACTTCATAGTAGAGGAGAATTTAATACAAAAAATTATTGACTCGGTCCAGTCACTCGATGCAGGGACTAGAAATATTTCAAGTGTTAACCCATTTATGGGTGTGGATGGATAAGCGTTGATAATGAGAGGAAAACATGAAAGATTCCACGAGGAGCTCCTACTAATTAGCACTTTCGCCCACTAATGACGAAATATGGCGTCAAAACTTTCGGCTTGACTGCAGGAGGGGGGCACCGCAGTTTTGAACATTATATGCATATACTCCTGTAGGGAATTTCATTGTGAATACTGCACATTGATACCAAAATAAAAGACCTAGGATGACAATTCAGGTAACAAAGTTGAAAAGAGTAAACACATTTTATTGCTTTTGATGAGCGCTCACGGGGGTAACGCGCTGTCACTTTCTCTGTTTGCAGTAGTGGTACGCTGGGCTTTTGGACTATATATATATGCATATACTCATGTAGGGAATTCTATTGCAAACACAATGATACCAAAATGAAAGACCTAAGACTAGAATTGAGGTGACCGAAGTGACAAGAGTGTACACATTTTTCATTGCTCTTTAGCGCTCCAAGGTAACACTATTTTGTGCAGCTGATACACCGGACTTTCGGACTTCATATGCATTTAATCATGTAGAGAATTCTATTGCGAACACATTGATATCAAATTGAAAAACCTAGGATGAGAATTGATATGACAAAGTTGAAAAGAGTATACACTTTTCAGTATTACCGCGCTCTAATGGAAGGCTGGGCGCGCCTCCCTGATCTCTTCCGGGTAACTGCGGCCTGCATTCATCACGTCAGCGGGTGGAGCTCACCACGGTTTTTTACATTATATGCATATACTCCTGTTGGTAATTCTATTGCGAAAACATTGATACCAAAATGAAAGACCTAGGACGAGAATTAAGGTGACAAAGTCAAAAAAGAGTATACACTTTTCAGTATTACCGCGCGCTCCCTTTGAACGTCCAAAACCACTAGGGTAGGTGGAACGCTCACTCGCCCAGAGTGCGAAAGTGCTAAGAGGGAGGTCTTATACTCAAAAGGAATGTATCAAGATCTAAATAAGAAAGAATTTGTATGTCCTGATTGCAGTCTCATCCACCAGATTCGTGTCATGCTGCTAGATCCAGAGGTGAAGTATCCATTGTTGCTGAGTGCCAACTTTCTCATCACCACCAACCATCATCTCATGGTTCAAGGAGCAACATCGCCCATCACAGCTGCATCAAGCCTGGCTGGAGCTCGAAGTCACACCAGCAGAGAATAATGCAGCATTTGTCTCATGCTGCTGGTGCTAAATAGGTATAATCATTTCAACACTTCATTTATAATAATATTTCATAGTTAATATGTAAATAGTGCCAAAAATTTATAGCAGATTTATATATAGTATATTTTCTAGAGTTAAACTAATGCATCCTAATTTCAAAGTTAATATCAAAATTCAGTCTTAAGTTTAGTTGACCCTGTTTATCAAAGATAACTTTGGATATTATTGCAGTTTTTATGATTTTTGTTTTTCCCATTTCAAAAACTACATTTTTTAATGTAAATTTATATTTTGCTTTAACTATGATAAAAAAGAACAGATTAATATGTTGCTCAAGTATTGTTGACAGGCAGCTTAACTTAAAATATATTTTTTAGACCAGTGAAATAATATGAATGTTTAGGTAGAAGCTGCTGAAATATTGTTTTTTTACAACTGACATCAAGAGCACCATCTCTTGGTTATTAATGGTATACTCATTTTAACCCAATATCTTGAGGTTATGTTCAGGGAAGCACACACTGCCGCCACTTATGATGCCAAAGACGTAATCATTTTTTGCTTAAAAATTATTACATTTCGGTGGTCGTTTAAAATACTTTTGATTTATTATTTTGTGGTAAGCTAAAGTAATTAGAAGTTTACTCCATAATGTATGGCACTTTACTGTAACGTTGGATAGCATGCAGAGATAGGAGAGAATAGGTGAAAATTTAACAAAACATGTAAAATCTTGTTAATGAGCACTGTAATACATTTGAAAAATTTAATAAGGTTTGCAACATAAAAATATTTTCATTGCATATTAATGGTAGTTTATCAACAAAGGTTCATGACTCAAAGTAAACATTCAGTGCACCAATGACCAAGATAATTGGCTGGATTGCTTGTTATTTAATGTGTTGTAAGATGATTTAGTTTCTTTTTAATGTAGTATGTAGAGATATTACTCATTGTGTTCATTTCTGAAGGTTGTGTACAAGATTGGCCATATTAATGGGTGGATGAAGTGTTTAATGTATTGCAGCATAAAGACATGACTATTCATGTGAAGCAGTGTTCAGATTTGTCTTCCAGTTCTTGGTTGTGACTATACCCAGGCAGGTGTCCCCCTGAGAACTAAAAGTATTTCACTGTTCTGCAATTCATTGCTATATCCCCTCTACCTGACCTTTACCAGGCTGCACAAGAGCCTGATAGCAACAGGTATTCTTGCTCCTCCCCCCCCCCTCTCCCCACATAGGTATATTTACTTTGTTATTTTTACACAACCCACAACCCCCTGCCCCTTAGTTAATGATATCCAAAATATCTAAAGATTTTTTTTTTTAGCAATTTACAGCTTTTATTTCTAGTTTGGACATGAGTTTCTGATGAGTCTTATAGGACTTGATGTTATAAATGACAAATATTACACCTTGCTAGCTCTTAATACAAGTGTTCAAGTACTGTACTAATGTAGTGCTTAAAACACAACACAATATGCTAGGTATTTTGTTTCCAGAGGTACAAAACTAATAACGCAATATATTTATATAATGTTCTGTATTGAAAATATGATGCTAAATTATGTGGCATATCTGGTTGGCTGTCATTTCTGTGTCCAGGTGGGTTGCATGTTTAGAATTCTCACGTACCAGTGTGAAGTATTAGAAATTAAGTTTGTTTCCTTACACTAAACACCTACACTTCAGTCAGGTTAATACACTTTAGCAGTTACAGCTGTCAACTTGCTTGAAAGGATTAAAATTAGGTATTGTGCCAATATAGGCTTCATTATTTACCAACCTCACTATTCACAGGTCACTGGAAATAGCAATTAGGGATCCCCCATGAACTACTATTCCCTTAACATGCACAGTACAGTTCACGTTGTCACAAACTGTCACTGGCAGTCTACTCAACCCATCCTCTTACAAATAACGTTGCTTTTTACTCCAATGCACACGAAGGCTAAAAATTGCCGTACTAAAAAATGGAAGCGGCTCGCGAAAGTGACACTGTCCCATTTTCTGTTTTGGGTCCTCTGGCTTAGTTTGTTAGGAGAGGACACATTAAATTAAGTTTTCATGACGTTTTGAAACCTTAGGAGAACTTCGTGCTCTTCTAACCTACCAGAGAAAACTGCAAGTTTTGGGCCCATTTCATTTGTAAAATAAATTTCCATTTTCTAGTATGGCAATTTTTGACCGTAGTAAGTACGAGCAATAAGCGATAGCACAGTATCTAAGAGGACGGGTTGGTCCATTACCGCTGGGCTTCATGAACGATGACTTATTTTAGTCGGTAACTACTATAGATAGACTTTGCTGCTATCTACTGTCCTTATCTCCCCAGTTGCATTACTCCACAACACTTCTCCCATTATACACGTTTTATTAACACTGGAACTGTTCTGGGTTCAACATACAGTATTCAAATTTCAGATTCTTCCCGTCTCCAAAGCTGATCTTATTTCTTGACAATTTCCAAATATTTATAATTTGTGATCCAATATTTGTTCACTTAAATTTCCTTTATTGATATTTAGTAATTTTTACCTGTCTGCATAATCTATTAAATTATAGTTGCCTAAATGCATGCACATTTTCTTTTGAGTTAAAACAACACATTTTAGGATCTTTTTCATAAGTGACCATACCACTGCATCATTAATTTTATGGTATTATAATTCTTTTAAGTTCTCTGTTCAGAAAACACTTTAGAATCTGTTTCTGCAGTCTGCCACTATGAGTCACTTAATGGGCCATTACTGCCCTTAACTTGTGGATATACTGCCTGTAGCTTAAAGTTAAGTTTTAAGGTTTGTGATTAATAAATATATTTAATATTTGTATTATTATTATTAACCTTCAGTATGCAATAAAGACTGAATAAAATATAAAAAAGTAAATGTGTTTCAAAAACAGGTTTCTGAATGTACAAACTCAATATACACTTAATTTCTGTGGTCACTATAAAGTGGCAATAATATAACACTATATACGCTGCTTACTCTGAACCAGATTCCGATTCTGATTCAGCGACGAATTTCACCCTAGATTGTTTTCTTCGGGACTGTAAACCTGTCTCCTCTTCAGCTTCACGATTCTTAGAGGCATACAAGCTAAACGCAGTTCGCCGTCCACGGCCTGAAAATAAAATTTTAATGTACTTAATGACAAAAGCAATTTCACATAGGATTCAGTTGACCAAAAATAGAATTCATACTATGTAAAAAGTAATCAAAGTTCATACAAATAATAACCATGAAAAATGAATCGGTAAGTAAAAGAAGTCAAATGAGAGAAAAGGTCACAGTATAATAAGATATTAAAGGTAAACTATTTATATCAATGTAATTGCTATCAAATTATTCCCACATTAGATATTTAAATTATATGAAAATTCAAATACAAAAATATCTTACAAATTGGAAAATGAGAGAATGTTCAATTAACAATTGAACAATCAATTAAGTTATATTTAAAGAACAACAAATTCCAAATAAGTGCTCCCTGAAATATACGTTTACATTATATTTACTCTGCATTATGCTTTAGTATAAGATAAGCTGTGCCAAGATGTATTACAAAGTCTGCTGCACTGTGAAGGTGAACTGTCGTGCACGCAAGTAACTAAAAATGACAAGTACCCATTCTGACCCTACTCCTGCTTATATGGGTATCTAAAGCATCAATCAAAATGTGAGTGTTCATTCTGGAGATTTCTTTAGTTAAAAGTATTATAAAATGGTAATGAATACCCATATAAACTACAGTACATGCTGACATAATATCACAAATAATAAGTTACATGAGAAAATCCACAGGAGCCGTGATGATTCAAACATATGTGCTGGATATTCCCAAATGTATGCTCTAGACAATTAGGCCACGACATGGTCAAAAGAATTGCACTCTGGGGTTCTGCTGAACCCACAAGCATTCCTGAGGCAAACCAGAGTTTCACACAATTCTCCCATGCATTCTGGCTCTGATTTCTCTGTGACGGCATCTATTCACACCCAATGCTAACTTGGCCGACACTGATGTATATAAGATACGACTCCAATGTTCAGCTTAGATGTTTCTTTGATCGTTTCACTTGTTTTTATGTATTTACTATAGTATGAATGTTAAATAACTTGATTTATGAGCACTTAATTCGCAAAATCTAAGAGTGAGTACATTACTAGTAAGTATAATGTTTCTAATCATACTATTATTTTATTTACACACACATACATAGGAGAGACACTACAGAAAACTAAACCTCCCGTTGCTGGATAACAGAAGTTAGGGGAGACATGATCACCACATACAAGATTCTCAGAGGAATTGATAAGGTAGATAAAGACAATTTATTTAACACGGGGGCACATGCACAAGGGAACAAAGATCGAAACCGAGTACCCAGAAGAGCCAGAGATATTAGAAAGAACTTTTTAAGTGTCAGAGTAGTTAACAAATGGAATTCATTAGGCAGTGATGTGGTGGAGGCTGACTCCATAAACAGTTTCAACTGTAGATATGATAGAGCCTAATAAGCTCAGGAATCTGTACACCGGTTGACTGACAGTTGAGAGACGGGGCCAAAGAGCTGAAGCTCAACTAGGTGAGTAAAAACAAAGTTTTGGAAAGTTTGGCCAACTCATCAGTTCTATCATGCATTCTGACACCAATATGGGAAGGAATCCACCGGAGACAAACTCTGACTCCATCATTGATTATTTCATTATATCTGTGTCTAGCTTCAGAGATAAGCACGTCACAGTTGTGCTTTGAAGAAACATAAGAAAATTCACTTTTGCACACAGAGTTCCTCTCAATGTTTGCTGATGATGCTAAAAATATGAGGATTAAGACAGGAGGAGGACAGCAAGAGACTACAAGATGACCAGGACAGACTGAAGGACTGGACCAGAAAATGGCTACTAGAGTTCAACTCAAGCAAATGTAAAGTTATGAAAATAAGTGTAGGGAGCAGGAGGCTAAACACAAGGTACCATTTGGAAGACGAAATCCTTCAGGAAGAGAGAAAGATCTAAGGGTTGATATCACCCCAGACCTGTCCTCTGACACCCATATCAAAAGGATATCAGCAGCAGTACATGTAAGGCTGGTAAACATAATAACAGCTTTTAGAAACTAGTGTAAGGAATCATTCAGAAACCTGTGTATTTCCTGTCAGACTACTACTGAAGTATGCGGCTCCAGCGTGGAGTCCATATCTAGTCAAACACAAAATGAAGTTAGAAAAGGTTCAGAGGTATGCCACCAGGCTAGTCCCCAAGCTGAGGGGTACGAGCTATGAGGAAAGACTACTAGAAATGAACTGAACGACACTGGAAGACAGAAGAGTTTGGGGAGACATGATCATCACATATAATGTCCTGGAGACATTATGTGTGACAAAGGAGATATGAAAACTACATACAACATCTTGAAAGGAATAGATAAAGAGGATAAAGGAAGCCTATTTAAATTAAAAAGAGAAGTAGGACAAGGAAGCTGTACTTACAACCGAGTATAAGAGATACTGTATAAGAACGTTTCAGTTCCTTTTATGAGTGGTTGGCATTGGAGGAGGGTGAAGAAAATTTCAATTACAACTTTAAAAATATGAAGAAAACCTTAACACACACAGGCATTTCGCACACCAGGTATAAATGGCTAGGAGATGGGGCATAAGAGCTAGATCTCACTTCCTGTAGTCCAATAGGTAAACACCATTCAGGAACGTGTGTCACTGCTCAACTGACCAGCCAGGGATGTACCTGTCTCATAGATCTACTCCTTGATCTGGGATGTACCTGTCTCATTGCTCAACTGACCAGCCTGGGACGTACCTGACTCACTGCTCTAATGACCAGCCAGGGATGTACCTGTCTCAAAGATTTACTCCCTAGCCTGGGACGTACCTGTCTCACTGCTCCACTGACCAGCCAGGGACGTACCTGTTTTACAGATCCACTCGCCAGCCAGGAACGTACGCGTCTCACTGCTCCACTTGCCAGCCAGGAATGTACATGTCTCACTATTTCACTCACCAACCAGGGACATAGGTGTGTGTCTGCTCCACTCACCAGCCAGAGACGTATATGTTTCACTCACCACTGGTCTCTATGATGTTGTCTGTGTCAAGCTCCTCCAGCTCCTTCTTCCTCTCAAGCCGCTTCTTCAGCTTCTTGCATTTCTCCTGTGTTGGATTACCTGCAACAGTCAAAATTGCTGCAACAAACTATTATCACCACTAAAGTCTTTGCATTATTAAACAAAGGTGTATATAAATGCCCAAAACTAACTGCATAAATCTAATGATTGACTATCAAAATTTAGTACCATTAAGTAATAGTGCAAATGGAGCATGACAGTCAGGTTAAGCGCTATTGAATCTGGTCGTCATTGGGTAGGACACAGGTCATTCTCAATCTCTGGATAAAGTCCAGAGACTGAGAACGGGGAATAGGACTACTGCGAATTTAACAAGAAATACTGTATGTGACATGTTAAATTAACACTTTAGCGTACCCAGCGCGCCACCCCTCAACTATGCGATTTGGGTCCCAGCGTTTCACGGGAGCACGCGTTAATTCTGAAGTGTATACTCTCTTCAACTTTGTCACCTCAATTCTCGTCCTACGAGATTAAATTTGGTATCATTGTGCTCACAATAGAATTCTCTACAGCACTAAATGAATATAAACTCCAAAAGCCCGGCTAATTACCCGCAGCAAACAGAGAAAGTGCGAACGAGTTACCCAGGAGCGCGCAAAAGTGATATAATGTGTTCACTCTTTTCACTCTGGTCACCTCAATTTTCGTCCTAGATCTTTCATTTTGGTATCAATGGGTTCGCAATAGAATTCTCTAGAGGAATATTAGCACATAAAATAAAAAACCTGGTCACGCTCCACCCGCCGACGAGTTGAAGACGGGCCACACGTTAGCCGTGAGCGAGCGCCCAGACGCCTTGCAGCTACACTCCCAATTTCTGCCCACAAATGTTTAGTATTTAGTATTTTAGTATATTTAGTATTTTTTGTGTAGTAGTTGTACATCACATAAGCATTGTAGATAGCCATTTGTACAAAAAAGAAGGTAATTTTCTTCATCTATTTGTGAGTTTTCCTTATGAAGTGATAATATTTGATCATTTGGTCAAAGTGATCAACACCTTTCATGTTTGTATTGTAGTCACAGATTGCATTCGGCTTGTTGACAGTTACCAAACAGTCCCCAAAAAATCGGATAAAAACCTGAATTTTGCCAATTATTTTAGTGGACGATGCAGCATTGTGTTATCCCCGAGATTACAGACAGTAAACGGATGACGCAATGCTGTGTCATGCCCGGACTAAAGTATTAAGTTCCAAAGTGTGTCTGTACAAAATGAGAATTTCAGAGATTTTGACCCAATACCAATTCCAGAGCACATCATTGAATACATCGAGGTTTCCCAAGATGAGGTTGAAAAATTACTAAACGGGCTAGGAAGAAATAAAGCAGTTGGACCTGATGGTGTTTCACATTGGGTGCTGCGAGAATGTGCAACTGAGCTAAACATTTCACTCCAATTAATATTCCATACATTCTTGTGCACAGGAATCTTAGCAGATATATACAAAAAAGGCAAACATAGCTCAAATCTATAAAAATGGTAGCTGAGAACAACTTCTAAATTATCAACCTGTATCTTTATCAAGTGTGGTAGTCAAAACACTAGAAAAAATTGGTAAAACCAAATGGGTTGAACACATGGCGAATAATGACATAATAAACACAGACAGACAGTATGGTTTTCAAACAGGAAGATCCTGTGTAAATCTACTTCATTTTTATGATAGAGCCACGAAGATTCTACAGGAAAGAGGTGGTTGGGTTGACTGTCTATCTGGACCTAAAAATGAATTTTGACAGTCTCGCATAAGAGGCTGTTTTGGAAACTGGAACATGCTGGAGGGGTGACAGGGAAACTTCTGACATGGATAAAAATTGTTATAACTGACAAGACATATGAGGGCAGTAATCAGATAATGCATCTGACTGGAGGAGTGTTACCAGTGGAGTACCACAAGGTTCAGTCTTGCACCAGTAATGTTCAAAATCTATATTAACGATCTACCAGAAGGAATTCAGAATTATATAAACATGTTTGCATATGATGCTAAGATACTGGGGAAGACAGGAGAGTCAGACAATTGTCATGCCCTTCAAACTGATCTAGATAACATAAGTGCTTGAAGCATCAAGTGGCAAATGGAATTCAATGAGAATAAATGCCATGTTATGGAATGTGGAATCTGAGAAAATAGACCACACAACTTACTAATTATTTGGAAAGGTATTAAAGAACTCTAATAAAGAACAAGAGTTTGAGGTGGTTTTGGAGAGTAAAGTGTCACAAGAGGAACACACAAAGAACATTGTGAGAGGAGCGTATGTATTGCTTTCCAACTTCAGACTTGCTTATATTTATTTATATGGATGGTGAAATACTAAATATTTTTTTTTGAGACCAAAATTGGAGTATGCAGCAGTTGAATGGTGCCCATATCTCAAGAAGCACTTAAATAAACTGGAAAAGGTTCAAAATCATGCTACAAAATGGCTTCCATAGCTGAAAAACAAGAGTTACAAGAAGAGACTAGAGGCGTTAAACATGACAAAACTAGAAGATAAAAGAAAAAGAGGTGATATGATCACCACTTACAAAATACTAACAGGAATCGACCAAATTGACAAAGAGGAATTCCTGAAACCAGTAACATCAAGAACAAGAGGACACAGATTCCAGCTAAGGAAACAAAAATGCCAAAAAAATGCTAGAAAGTTTTCTTTTGTAAACAGAGTAATAGACTGTTGGAACAAGTTAAATGAGGTGGTGGTGGAGGCCAAAACCGTCAGTACAGTAGTTTCAAATCGTTATATGGAAAGAGTACTGGGAAGACGGGACACCACGAGCATAGCTATCATCCTGTAACTACACTTAGGTAAATACAAACTGGACGGGTGAATGGAAGAACCACTCCTTCACCCTAGTGAGGGAGTGTTCTCATCTAACCAAACAACATTTTTGCTCCCACTGAGGCCAAAATGTAAAAATTTATTCATCATTATATTTGCAGAACTATAGGTAACACTTATTTTTATTAAATATTGAAAGTTGGGTATATTCACCTTAAAACATAAAGCCAAGATTACAAAAATAATGTACATTAACTGTACCATCATCCATCACTATGTATGTCTGCCTAAATGGTCATTATTATCATTGTTTTCCAATGGGGGGAGTTCTGGGCCTCAGTTGCAAATTTAACCAATTAAAGTTTTGTAATAGTTCAACTACCTTTCTGGGTGCCTTCGGTCGACATGACAAACTCTGCATATAAAGCGCTCATATGGCCATTGCTCCCTTCGCCTCTCTGAGGGGCCCAGGCTCTGGCTCTGGCTCATGGCCCCCGGTAGCACTCGTACTCCAAGGATTGATGGCACCAAACTAATATGACACATGTCAACATGTCAGTTTAATAGCTTCAGGGAGCTGATGGGGCTTCCCTCAGAAAAAAGTTTCAAATCATTGCCACATCAAAATAAATATTCAAGATAATCTTCAATTTTACAAGAACAATCAGGCGAGTACTGTAGCCTATACCCAAGGCAGTAGTGTGTGGTCATCTCAAGATGAACCAACTGCCCAACTAAAACAGAATAAAACTTTACCATAATTATTTATTCAAGCTTTACAATTGTTATTTATTTGACAAAGTTTGGAGGCTAAATTGCTGCTCAATGCACAAGACTAATTTTAGACCTACTGGAATTGAGGTCAAGGTGGCACACAGTTACAAACCTTTATTATATATTATTATCCTGAAATGAACGTTTACTGGCTGACAGATATACAGCTAAAAAAAAAAGTAATCAGTTCTCACCTTTGAGCCCCCGTTCATGCATGACATTTAGAAGCTTCTCCTTCTTGCTCTTCATGCTCTTACAGCCCGAGAGCAGACGGTCGTAGTTCCTGATATTAATGCCCATCATGCGGATGTACTTTTTGAGACGACCAAGTGGATCATCGCTGCGACCCTGATAACAGTTGTATACGTTGAGTTGCTTAATGTTGTATTATGTTAATAACAGACACCAAAAAACCAGCGTTAAATGTAATGAAACACCATTTTCTGGGTGAGAAAATGGCTCCCTAGAGCTATACTGGGCTGATGTGTGTATATATTAGACAGTGGCAACAGTTAATCGATGGAGTTCCATGCCTACCGGGAACAAGCACCAGAACCTGGCCCCATCAGAGGCACAAAGAGCAATGGCCTATAGACACACCCGTGTAATTGGAAGCAGTCTATATCTGCCATCTACCAGGTCAGGCACCCAGATAGGTAGGAATCCCAAAACAAACTGCAGCTGATGAAAAATTGCTAACCAAAAAGACACAAAAAACAACAGACAAAGAAAACCCTGAAAGAGGACACCGTGCCCAGGTGGAACAGAACCGGCTACTATGAGAGGTGATAACAAGCCAAGCTGTACCCTGCGCCCCAACCAGTGAGGCCTCTACTCCCTACCCAGAGGCAAACAAGGGCAAACAAAAACCTTAACTGACTTTAAGAGTGGCCAAGTACCGAGCAGTAAAAAACACAGCAGAGGTAGATCCCAAGGTGACTTGTGGAAGGTGGCCCCAAGCCCCAAGAGCAGTACTTACAGGGCACCTAGGGAAGCAAACCCTAGGCGCATGCAGCCAGAGTACCAAAGAATATTACTCCTGGCTTGAACACCACCTGTAGAGACATACCACGCCTTGTGTTTGTCACCTCACATGGGTGAGGTGACAAACACAAGACAGAACACGAAACAATGGGAATAAATTGGATAAGTGAACATATGAATGGAAGTAACTGCAGAAGGCCTATTGGCCCATACTTCCTCTTGCTGCTACCATATTGGTTCAGGGTCTTGAAGTGGGTAGAATATAGTTGTGCATTAATTGGCTGTTGATTGCTAGTGTTGACTTTTTGATGTGTAGTGCCTCGCTGATGTCGAGTCTCCTGCTATCGCTGTATTTATCGATGATTTCTCTGTTGCTTGTTAAGATTTCTCTGGTGATGGTCTGGTTATGAGAAGAGATTATAAGTTCCTTGATGGAGCCCTGTTGTTTATGCATAGTTAATCGCCTAGAAAGAGAAGTTATTGTCTTGCCTATATACTGAGTTCTTTGGGGCGTACAGTCCTCAAGCGGGCATGTGAAGGCATAGACGACGTTGGTTTCCTTCAAGGCATTCTGTTTGGTGTCTAGGGAGTATTTCATGAGTAGGTTGGCCGTTTTTTTGTTCTTGTAGATTGCCAATTGTATTTTTCCGATTTTTGTCTGTAGGGATAACGTTTCTATCAATAATGTCTTTCAGGACCCTTTCGTCTGTTTTATGAGCCATCGAAAAGAAGTTCCTGTAACACAGTCTAACAGGGGTATAAGTGTTGTGTTAGTTGACTCTTCGGAGGCTGCATGGCATTTCACCTTTCTTTTTATGACGTCTTCAACAAAACTGTTATAGAAGCCATTGTTGACTAGGACCTGCCTTATCCTACAGAGTTCTTCATCGACTTGCTTCCATCCTGAGCTGTGGCTGAGAGCCCGGGTCGACGTAAGCGTTGACAACACTCCTCTTGTACCTGTCTGGGCAGTCACTATTGGCATTGAGGCACATTCCTATGTTTGTTTCCTTTGTGTAGAAGCGGTGTGGAAGCCTCCGTTCCTTTCCGTGACTGTTACATCTAGAAAAGGCAGCTTCCCATCATTCTCCATCTCTGAAACTCAACACAGAATTCTGCTCGAATGCCTCCTTCAGCTGCTGCAGACGTCTGACATCAGGTACCTGCATAAAAATGTCGTCAACATACCTGCAGTATATGGCGGGTTTCATGTTCATGTCAACTAAGACCCTCTACTCGATGGTACCCATGTAGAAGTTCACAAACAGGACACCTAGGGGAGAAACCATGGCGACCCCATCTACTTGCTTGTACATGTGCCCATCTGGACTCAAGAAGGGTGCCTCTTTAAAGCAGGCTTGGAGCAGCTTCCTAAGTATGTTTTCTGATATGTCAAAAGGAGTACAAGCCGGATCACGATACACTATCCGCTATCATCCCGATTGTTTCATCCACAGGTACGTTGGTAAACAGTGACTACATCCAACAAGGCTCTTATTCCCGTGGCCCGTGCTCCCCGCAGTAAATCAACAAATTCCTTTGAAGACTTCATGCTTCACAGGGTACATAAGGGGTCAGCAAGCAGTTGAGTCGCTTAGCCAGTCTGTATGTGGGTGTGGGTATCTGGCTGATGATTGGCCGAAGTGGGTTTCCAGGCTTGTTGGTCGAGGAAGACCTCCATACTCGAATCGACCAGCACCTCGACATCCTTACAGATCGACATCGCCACAGCACCGAAACCAGGATCATCAGGAAACTGATAGCATTATTTCGAGGACCTATGGCGATTCCACGACCCAGAGATGGCTTCTTTAACCTTGCTGGAATCAACCTCACTGAGGACCAAATCACTCTCTTAAATCTACACTTTCGCCCACGGACGACGCAGCATTGCATCGTCCAATCGGCAACGATGCGGTAAAGTAGTGGCATCTTCGGGAAGGTCTTGCTGCAGTTTTGTACTATGTGCATATACTCTTATAGGGAACTTTATTGTGAATACATTGATACCAAAATGAAAGACCTAAGACCAGAATTAAGGTAAAGTTGAAGAGTATACCCATTTTATTGCTCTTTATTCGCGATCACTGGGGTAACACTCCGTCACTCTGTTTGCTGTGGGTGGTACGCCGAGTTTTTGGAAACAGGACAGCCTCGAGGCGTCCGGGGAGCAACCACCACAGTGTTGCCACCACCAAAACTCAACCTGCAACGCCCACGCTGCCTGTATCTGCATAGTCAGCATAAGACAGGGTAACAGAGTCACAAACAAGCAACAAAACTTGCAGGACTCCAGGCCGAAGGTGCCACCTACCCCACAGGCAGCAGACGGAGGCAAAGACCGTGAGTCACCCTGAGACAAGGGGACAGAACAACCCACAAACTCGCAAGAAGTGAGGGGAGACTCTGGGGTCACATCCATCGGACCCGTGCGTCCCCTAGGGAATTCCCAGGGTCCTGAGCGTTTACAATAAGAGGACTCGCACTCAGGTAATCCCAGGCAGGGTACTACTAACCGGCGCCCAAGACTACCAAACAACCTTCTAAGAACTGAACCCCTGGGACGTGTACACTCATGGGGGACCTAGCAGGGGGGAACCACCGGAAAAGGAAGAGTACGCAGTACAAAGGGGGAAAGAACAAAGGCAGATCCCCTCACCAGGTAGACAAACAAAGAAAAAAGAAAACCCCGCAAGAGGAGAGCGTACCCAGGCGAAGCAGAGTTGGCCGCTATGATTAGTGAAAACAAGCTGCGCAGTACCCTGTGCCCCACCAGTGCAAACTGCCTCTTACCCCAAGGCAAACAAGGGAGGCAGAACACCCTAGCACACAAAGGGCTGCCGAAAATCAAGCAGTAAACGGCATAGCAGGGGCAGAACCCAAGGGACTTGTGAAAGGGAACCTCAAGCCCCAAGGGCAGTACTTACAAGGCACCTAGGGAAGGAAACCCTAGGCGCATGCAGCCCTAGTACTGGAGAATCACTCCCAGCTCACGCACCACCTAGAAGACAGTATCCACACGCTAGGTACAGTGCTGAAACAACCACCAGAACCAGAGCACATGACCTCAGCCTTTAGCATCAGCCGAAGAGCTGATGGTGGATAGCCGGCGCGGTAGGTCTGGGGCTCTCCCTTCCCCATCCCCAGGAAGGGGGGAGCAGCACAGACAGCGGTGCAGCGACATGTGACATCATAATCGTTTGCTCATTTCTTTTAGGGGAGTTCTATCCACTTGTTCGGCTTGTTTTGGCAATTTTCACCAGAACAGGGGTTTGTTTTGGGACGCTTACCTTTCTGGGGGCCTGACCTGGTCGATGGCAGACATAGAATGCTTCCAACCACACGGGGGTTTCTATAGGCCATTGCTCCCCTTGCCTCTCTGAGGGGGCCAGGTTCTGGCTCGTGGTCCCCGGTAGGCCCATAGAACTCCATACACATGACTGATGCCAAAGTCAGACATTAGCATATCAGCCTGAATAAGCTCCAAGGAGCTGAAGGGGCTCTCCCCCCCCCACCCAGAAAAATGGCTTACCTACTCATGAAAAACTCCCCAGACACCAAACAGAATGCCATGAAGGAAACCAATGTTGTCTATGCCTTCACATGCCCACTTGAGGACTGTAAGCCCCAAAGAACTCAGTATACTGTATAGGCAAGACAACAACGTCTCTTTCTTGGCGATTAACCATGCACAAACAACAGGGCTCCATCAAGGAACATGGAATCTCTTCTTACAACCAGACCATCACCAGAGAAATCTTAACAAGCAACACAGAAATCATCGATAAATACAGTGATAGCAGGAGACTCGACATCAGCGAGGCACTACACATCAAAAAGTCAACACCAGCAATCAACAGCCAATTAATGCACAACTATATTCAACCCACTTCAAGACCCCAAACCAATGTGGAAGCAGCAAGAGGAAGTATGGGTCTTCTGCAGTTACAGTACAGTACAGTACTTCCATTCTGTAGGAAGATTCTTCCATTCTTCCACGTTCAAGAACACGAAACCAATTGTTTCGTGTTCTGTCTTATGTTTCACCTTACCCAAAACTTTTGTGCCATATCTCCTCACCCAAAAACAAGTATGAATGTATTTTGTGTGTAAATTAAGTCCTTGAAAATGCAATAAGGAATTACGAAACGCATTTAGGCGTCAAACTAGAAATAAAAAGAATGAATTTTGGAGTTACTTTATCAATTACCCTCGACAGTGAAGAAGAACTTAAGAAATATTGAGAAGATTCGTGTTAGAATTATTAATCTTACCCTTTCAGTCATATTCAACAACATATGTTTACAAGACTGCTTCCAAAATATAAAAATATACTAATAAAATATTACACACACACACACACACACACACGCACACACGCACACACACACGCACACGCACGCACGCACGCAGAGGATGACGATGGTAATGAGGAACCAACACCTCAGACAACGAAATACAGTTTACTGATGTCTTATGTTGACAGTTTAATTAATTTTTCATGCAACTGTGCTAATCCAGAAGTTGGAAAAATGTATCGGTACTTGAGGCAAACCCAAGAGCTGATAATAAGAGGGGCCAATGAACACAGGAGGCAAATTAAACTCAATTCTTATCTGCTAAGAACAGCAAGCCAAGGACCTTCAACCAGTGAGGCCTCACAAGCAAGCCAAGGACCTTCAACCAGTGAGGCCTCACAAGCAAGCCAAGGACCTTCAACCAGTGAGGCCTCACAAGCAAGCCAAGGACCTTCAACCAGTGAGGCCTCACAAGCAAGCCAAGGACCTTCAACCAGTGAGGCCTCGCAAGCAAGCCAAGGACCTTCAACCAGTGAGGCCTCGCAAGCAAGCCAAGGACCTTCAACCAGTGAGGCCTCGCAAGCAAGCCAAGGACCTTCAACCAGTGAGGCCTCGCAAGCAAGCCAAGGACCTTCAACCAGTGAGGCCTCACAAGCAAGCCAAGGACCTTCAACCAGTGAGGCTTCAGCAGCTGGCAGTCAAAACTGACCTCATCAAGCTCATGTACTGTACAGTAATTTTAAGTGTTAATTTTTGCAAGCAAAAATATTAGGGAGGCACAAAACCTCCCTAATGTGTGTTAGATTAGGTTACATAAATTTTCAAGAATTCTTAATGTCAAGATGTGTAGTATCAATTAAGATGAACTGCAACAAGATAAGCTGAAGTTTGTTTAAAATTAATTACAGTACTGTACTTGAGTATTTTATATTTATAGTCTGTGTGTGGCAATTAAAATTACTGTATGTTGGTTGTGGTACAAAATTTTTTTTGATTATGTTCACTTTTGGACTACCCCGGTAAAATGTCTGCTAATCCGGATAATCAAGCTGATACAGTATTATGAAGCCAGTACAATATATTGGCTTCATACGAAACTTGTGAAAATAATTAAGAAACCTTACCTTTTCTTGCTTACCAGCACCTCGAGATTTACTGGTCTTGTTTTTATCTTTTTGATTTCCAGTTTCTTCACTGTCGGAACTCAGTGATTCATCAGAAGAACCAGACTCTTTGCTAGTTTTGTTTGTCACTTTTTTTGAAGGCAGTTTGGCCTTAACTTCTGTGTCCATCTCCGAGTCAGAACTAGCAGACTTTTTCACAGGTGACTTTGCCTTATCTTCTGTATCCATCTCAGAGTCAGAGCTCTCAGAATTTTTCTTTTCTTTTTTCTTTGTAATTAAAGGTTTTGCTTTCTTTTTTGGACCATCTGCTTTCATTTTGGCCAATGGCGCCGAGTCCGACTCACTGGAGTTCTCAGACTTTTCTTCTTTCTCTGCATCACTCACAGAGTCATTGTCATTCTCTTCACTTTTATTTTTATTTATTTTGGGCCTGGCCTCTTTTGGCAACACTTCAGCATCACTCTCAGAATCTTTATCGTTTTCTTCGCTTTTATTTTTCTTTATTTTGAGCTTGGTCTCTTTTGGCAACACTTCAGCATCACTTTCCTTTGAATCATTGTCTTCCTCATTGTTTTTTGTAGGAGAAATACCTTTGTTACTTCGCTGAGAATTGGTAGTCTTGTTTTCTTTCACAGGAGAAATGGTCTTCTTGTTCCTTTTGGATAAAGGCTTACTATCAGACTCGCTAGAGCTGTGTGACTCCCTCGACCTCTTTGTCTCGCTTTTTGTTAGTTTTGTTTTCTTTTTAGCCAAGGATTCTGAATCAGAGTCATCAGTATCCGATTCTGCTTTCTTCTTGCGAGACATTCTAGGTAACTTGCCTTTCCTTCCTGATGGAGGTTCATAGTCAGATTCGTCAGACTCTCCCTCAGCAGTATTCCGTTTTCCTCTTCCTTTCACTGGCTTCACAGCCTCTTCAAACTCAGATTCACTAGAGGATTCCGTTTCACTCTTTTTTCTTCTGGTCGCACCTCGAGGCTTCCTGGTAGCTTTTGCATTTCTCTTGGGCTTTGATTTCTTGGCCTTTTTAATTTCTTTGGCAGATTCTTCACTTCCAGATTCAGAACTTGGTGTCATCTGTGCACTTTCATCCTCTGAATCATCTGTATCACTTTCTTGCTTACTTGCCACTTTTCTGCCTTTTCTTGGACTTACTCTAGTCCTCTTTTTTATCGCTTTTTTGGGAGGTTCGTATTCGTCGTCACTCATGTCATCTGCACTTTCCTTCGCCGCCTTAGGTTTTGCTGAGCTTTTCCCTTTCTTCTTAGAGAGTGGCTCATCATCAGAGTCACTTGAGCTCTCAGATTTTTCTCTCCAGTTTTTCTTTACACCAGATTTTTTAGTTTTTTTCTCTTCCCCACTGTCAGACTCACTTGCACCGGAATCTGCTTTGTTCTTCTTAGCTGCCCTGGGAGAGCGACCCTTCTTCATCATGGAAGATTTGGACATCTTTTCTTTCTGTTTGCTTAGTGGTTCATAATCAGAACCACTAGCGCTCTCAGATTCTTCTCTTTTTTTGTTTACAACTGATTTTTTAGTCTTTTTCTCTTCACCGCTATCATCATCATCACTTGCGTCAGCGTCTACCTTTTTCTGAACTGCTCTAGTAGACTGGCCTTTCTTAACCATGGAAGCTTTTGAATTCTTTTCTTCCTGTAAAGGTTCATAATCTGAATCACTTGGGTTTTCAGATTCTTCTTTTTTGTTTACATTAGATTTTTTAGTCTTTTTCTTCTCTTCGCCACTATCATTATCACTGGCACTGGAGTCTGCTCTACTTTTCTTAGCTGCCCTGGGAGACCGGCCGCCCTTCTTGACCACATTAGATTTGGAATCCTTTTCTTCCTGAACAGGTTCATACTCTAAATCACTTGGATTTTCTGAGTCTTCTTTTTTGTTAGTAGTCAACTTTTTTGTCTTTGTATCATCACCACTGTCTGGATCACTGGCATCAGAGCTGCCTTTTTTCTGAGTGGCTTTGGGAGACTGGTCTTTTTTAATTAAGGGGGTCTTTGAATTATTTTCTTTTTGTGTGTCTAAAGGCTCATCATCTGAATCACCAGAGTTCCTTGACACCTTATCTGGCTTATTTTCATCATTTAATGCTGGAGGTTTAACTGTATTTTTACATTTATTATCAGGAAGAGAGACAGAGTCGGATTTCGGACAATTCGAGTCATCATCAGATTCTTTATTAAGGATGTTTTCAATGTCCTCGGCTGTTGCAGGAGTAGGTGATTTCTTTTTCTCCAGGGTATTAGCTGCCTTCTTCCCAACCTCTTCCTTCCCTTTGTCTTCATTAGCCAAAGGCATTTCTTCATCACTAATGTCCAAAGAAATCATCCTTTCTTCTTTCAGTAATTTGGCGCTCTCTTTAATTTGGGTTATTTGCGTCTCTTCAACGTTTATGTTCTCTTTATAGATTGTGTTGTTTTTCCTCTCACTGTCTGCATGCTTTACTGCTTCAAGGCTAATCTTGCTAGCTGGTTGGGATTTAGCCTTATGCAACTTGTTAACTGGTATCTGCAAATAAAAATATTTAAAATCAATTAATGAAAATTAATTAAAGCAAGACATGATGTTTATCATAACTTTGCTCCAAAGGTGTGGCAGTCAGCTTTGCAGATTCTGTCAAAATCTATTACAAAGTGTTAACAATCAATAAAACAAGGTCAATATATGTTGCAGGAGTCCAATCACTAGTATCAACAAGACCATAGTTTCCCTGCTGCTAAAGTCCACAAGCTCACACAGACAAACTAGCGACAACACCGTTTACACGGACAACGTTGCTGTGCTATTATTCAGTGTAAAGCCTATATAAATAATTGCAGGGTATTACCTCTCAGTTGTTAGTATAGAGTACTTACCTGTAACAATGTACTGCAGCTGGATATAAAAGATCTCGAGGAGTTGGCTATTTTGTGGGTAGACCGACTCATGGAAACAGCGTGTTTCTTCTTGCCTTCTTTCATAAGTCTCTGTTGGCCTTCATCTGCACTCATCTAGTGACAACTGGCAACCCATTCACAGATAAAATTATTTTAACTAAAAATAATAAAACAATGAATTATTGTCTAAATCATTGGTTGGTAATATTTTCAAGTGATATTCCAGTGATGAGTGACTATAACCCTCTGTACCATCCAGCATTTAAAGTCTCGATTTCATTTGATCCTGAATAGCTGAGCAGTCCAAGGGTTAAAGTTAATTAATATATATTTTGGAGTACAAGTGAAACTACTGCTTCTGTGTGAAATTAAAGATGAAATTAACTGAAGTGACCAGTTTTGGAATAAAACAGTCTAATTATCTTATGGTATGTGGTATAAAAACTACATGGTTTTTATACCACACCTCTCCAGATGGTATGCGAGTAAAACCACATACCATCTGGATGGCTTGTCAACCACACTGGGATCCACTTGTCCAAGTTCTATAATACCCCATTGTAATACACATGCCAAATGACACCATGTTTCACGGGCACCAACATCATGCCTAACAGGTAAACACAAGATAACCGGATACTAATTCTATTAACCGCTACAGTACAGTACACGAGACAAGATTCCTAGCCAACCCCCACTGGAAATGCAATATTTCAGGGTGCTCTTGGGACAAGTCTACCTCCCATGGTGGTCATCAGTTGCAAAGCATGTATGACATCAATATGATTTCCACATCAGCACAGCACCCACGTTTTATTTTTTTCCCCAAACACATTATGTATAATTGGTACTCTATTTTAATGCCTTTACTGCATCTGTACAGTAGCACTCTTCAGCATATTAGGGTCTCAAAGTACTGTACAGTACAGTGGGTTTTGTTCTTTGATCACAGTTGGGTATCTCAAGTTCAATTTCCAGGAGGAACAAATGGATGGCATGTTTCCTTTTGCCTAGCGGTAAACGGGTAACAGGGGAGCCGGTAAACGGGTAACAGGGGAGCCGGTAAACGGGTAACAGGGGAGCCGGTAAACGGGTAACAGGGGAGCCGGTAAACGGGTAACAGGGGAGCCGGTAAACGGGTAACAGGGGAGCCGGTAAACGGGTAACAGGGGAGCCGGTAAACGGGTAACAGGGGAGCCGGTAAACGGGTAACAGGGGAGCCGGTAAACGGGTAACAGGGGAGCCGGTAAACGGATAACAGGGGAGCCGGTAAACGGATAACAGGGGAGCCGGTAAACGGGTAACAGGGGAGCCGGTAAACGGGTAACAGGGGAGCCGGTAAACGGGTAACAGGGGAGCCGGTAAACGGGTAACAGGGGAGCCGGTAAACGGGTAACAGGGGAGCCGGTAACAGGGGAGCCGGTAAACGGATAACAGGGGAGCCGGTAAACGGATAACAGGGGAGCCGGTAAACGGGTAACAGGGGAGCCGGTAAACGGGTAACAGGGGAGCCGGTAAACGGGTAACAGGGGAGCCGGTAAACGGGTAACAGGGGAGCCGGTAAACGGGTAACAGGGGAGCCGGTAAACGGGTAACAGGGGAGCCGGTAAACGGGTAACAGGGGAGCCGGTAAACGGGTAACAGGGGAGCCGGTAAACGGATAACAGGGGAGCCGGTAAACGGGTAACAGGGGAGCCGGTAAATGGGTAACAGTTAGTAAATGGGTAACAGTTGGTAAATGGGTAACAGTTAGTAAATAGGTAACAGAGTTAGTTAATATGTAACGGGGTTAGTAAATAGGTTAGGGCACTGTTGTGGAGTGGCATTCTGAGGAAGGTCAGTAGCTCGACCTCAGGGGAGGAAACAGGAGGATACAAGCCAAAAGTATATACTGTACTCTATTATAAAAGCTCCCCTAATATAAACCTCATAAACCTGGACCTCGATTTTAGGCAAAATCAAGTCCACATTTTGTGTGCCAAACTTTGCCAAACTCAGACAGAAATCCAGGTTACTTGATGACATCAGAAACCAATGGGTGCCAGAAGAGGCCTTAGCAGCTGGTAGCCAAAACTGACATTGCCAATCTACCCTAACCATGTCAATTTCTATTTATAATGTGTGGCAATACAAATCATGTTGGTAAAAAAAAAAAAAGCATTGAATGAAATAAAACAAATTTCTGGGCGAGCCCCAGTGGCTCCCTGAAGCAATACCCAGAGATAGTTCCCATCTATCAGGTTGCATCATCTGTTGAGTTTTTAGGCCTACCAGAGACCAGAGCCAGAACCTGGCCCCTTCACAGATGCACAGGGGTGACTGGAACATATTGGAGGGGTGACAGGTAAGCTACTAACATGGATGAAAAATTTCCAAACTGACAGAAAATGAGGGCCGTAATTAGAGGCAAGGTATCAAATTGGAGGAATGTCACAAGTGGAGTACCACAGGGTTCAGTTCTTGCACCGGTAATGTTCATTGTCTACATAAACGATCTACCAGTGGGAATACAGAATTACATAAACATGTTTGCTGATGATGCTAAGATAATAGGGAAGATAAGAAACGTAGATGATTGTCATGCCCTTTAAGAAGACCTGGACAAAATTAGTATATGGAGCAATACTTGGCAAATGGAATATAATGTGAATAAATGCCATGTTATGGAATGTGGAATTGGAGACCATAGACCCACACAACCTATAAATTATGTGAGAAATCTTTAAAGAATTCTGACAAAGAAAGGGATCCAGGGGTGGTTCTAGATAGAAAACTGTCACCTGAGGACCACATTAAGAACATTGTGCGAGGAGCCTATGCTACACTTTCCAACCTCAGAATTGCTTTTAAATACATGGATGGCGAAATACTAAAGAAATTGTTCACAACTTTTATCAGTGCCTGGAAAAAATAAGCTCAGTAATCTTGAGGTTATCTTGAGATGATTTCGGGGCTTTTTAGTGTCCCCGCGGCCCGGTCCTCGACCAGGCCTCCACCCCCAGGAAGCAGCCCGTGACAGCTGACTAACTCCCAGGTACCTATTTTACTGCTAGGTAACAGGGGCATAGGGTGAAAGAAACTCTGCCCAGTGTTTCTCGCCGGCGCCTGGGATCGAACCCAGGACCACAGGATCACAAGTCGAGTGTGCTGTCCGCTCGGCCGACCGGCTCCCTAGAAATAGTAGTCTTTCTAGTAGCACTAGAAATATGTTCAAACCGCATACTGTACCCCCTAAGAAAAAAGAGAAAGATGCAGATTGGAACGGGAATGTCGTTCCCTATATAGGCGAAGAAAACGAATCGCGGAACAACTTGAGAGTCGCACCCTATCTCAAGAACAGCGAAGAAGGTTAGGTAGAGAAATAGAAACAATTGAACTCAAGCTACAAGAATCATACAAAACCCAGGAGAGGCAAAGAGAGAAAAAGGCCATCAGTGAAATAGAGAGAAATCCGAAATATTTTTTCTCCTATGCAAAATCAAGATCAAAAACCACATCTAGTATCGGGCCCCTGCGAAAGGGAGATGGAACTTTCACCGATGACAACAAAGAAATGAGCGAGTTACTGAGGAAGCAGTACGACTCTGTTTTCAGCGAGCCATTAAACAGGCTTCCCATCCCTGTCAATGGGAATTTACCCGAATTCCCAGCAACCTCTTGCACTATCACCAACCACTAAGTTTAGGCTGTGACATTTACAGGGCATATAAAACACCATATAAAATTAATTATACTGTAATTGATCACAGTTTTGACATGTACATATATTGTATACAAGAGTTTTCCGTAATGTTTCAAAGAATGGTGCAACGCATTTACCTATACTCTATTTGCAAATAATTAATACTATATTTTTTTTGTCAGAGGCAGGCAGCCTGTGTATATATACATTAGGCTTACAACACGGTTCCTCCACAGAGGAGTGCTGTGACAGGGGTTTCTCCTCCCCACAATGAAACCCAACAACAGTTGCCCAACTCCTGGATACTTATTTGCTACTAGATAAAAGGAATTTGGTGATAAGAAACATGCCCAACCATTTCTGTCACGCCCAGGATTCAAATCTGGTATTCCCGATTGCGAGTTGATAATGAACTGAACTGTATTTAGCTCATGGATGAACATCTTATCTTCTTGTAGCTGTTCTTCCAGAGGCTAATATCTTGTCAATGATATTCAAGTGATAACAGTGATCAAGCTTATGGCAACCATGTAAAGGAAGTGACAAAACTGCTTTAACTGTTCAAGTTCAACTATGTATAGCATAAAGTTTTAACTTAATTATTATGGACCTCATTACACAAAATGATTATTTACAATATACTGACTGACCTGTTTTTTAATTTTAGTAGCAAAAGTATCCCATATATATATACCGGGCATTTTCTTGAGGTTATCTTGAGTTGATTTCGGGGGTTTTAAGTGTCCCCGCGGCCCGGTCCTCGACCAGGCCTCCACCTCCAGGAAGCAGCCCGTGACAGCTGACTAACTCCCAGGTACCTATTTACTGCTAGGTAACAGGGGCATAGGGTGAAAGAAACTCTGCCCATCGTTTCTCGCCGGCGCCCAGGATCGAACCCGGGATCACAGGATCACTTGCCCAGCGTGCTGTCCGCTCGGTCGACCGGGTCCCTATATTCACATTCATTCATACACCCTACATTTTCATTCTACCATTAAACCATTAAAGGTCCATTTAATTCAATAGCTTCAAATTGGTTGTAATCCAGTGCACAGAGCAATTTACTTTAATAGAAAATCATATTCTGAACAAAATTGTTCTGTTCAAAAAAAATTATCACATTCATGAAATGGCATTCTATGTATTGTACTGCATAATACACACATCATAAACTTAATGCAAAACATACAGTACAGTGTTCAATTGAAAAATAAAGTGTAACATTTTCATCATACGGGATGACAGTTTCAGAACAGTAGTTTTTATCACAGCGAGTATAACAAAAATAATCATTGTATTCTAACTGGTGCAGCCCTATTATAATATTTTATTTATAAGATACACAAAAGATCAATTACAATAGTTACTTAGTACAGTATTTGTATATTTTATATAGCCACTATTTATTCATAACCACTTGGCATCAATCATTCAACCTGCAAACCATGTATTAATAGTTATGTGGTAACTCGTCCACTCCAACTGAAAGACGTTAACCCTCACTTCATGTCTGTTTCGGTGTACATAGCAAAAGCTAAAAATTTAATTAGGAATGGTTTATCAGACACCCAACCCCACACATCTGACCAGGAAGGAAGTGACGTGTTTTGCTCCGTCCTGAACCAGTATCACAACTTGATAATGGTCCAGGATGGAAATGTTGTCAGTTTGCTAACTGTAGGTATATAATCACCTAGGAATATAGGTATATAATCACCGTGTACTTATATGTAGGTTATAATCACTAAGTGATTATAACCTATCTACTGCTGTCCACTGGATGGGTGGGGAAAAGCGGGATGCAGAATATCAACTGTGACACTAGCTCTCCACATATGTCAGTTGCTTATTTTAGAAACTGTACTTTTGGTTCGTCTCGAGCCCATTGTTGATGTGACAATTTTTATGTGACATGTGTTGATGTGGTGAAGGGCTAAATATCTCCAGTCGATCAACAAATTGGGTCACATCTGACCCGCGCCACATTTATACCTGGCGCCACCAACAGCTAAACACAGAAAACAACCGCCTCGTCGCAGTACCAAGGATCAGCTGACGCCATAAACACAACACACCGCCCTATGGTGCGGCAAGTCTCCCTCTAACATACACCTCTGTTTTAATCACCGTTCCTCTATCTACAGCACAACGTAACAAACACCTTGGTAGCTGCGATCATCCTCAACATAAACGCCTGTACCAACACCTGTACTGGTGCAGTCATCGGGAGGACAAACCCTTCATGCAAACTGCACCTACTATCAACAAGAAGAAGAAGAGTTGATGTGATGATGTGCATTGAATTGTATAACTAGCTCATTAAGACTATAACTTGCTTAGCTAAATGAATTGTAGTGTTCAGTCCCCAAACCCATTATGTGTCTTGTAACCCTTTCAACTACCGCCCACAAGATGGGTATGGGGTGCATAATAGATGAACTAAACTAACTCAGATGTGCAAGTTGGGGTGTCAAACTCTCAGCCAGGTTATTGTAACTGTTTGCAATTGTGTATAAGGCTTGCCCAAAAAAAGTATTGGTAGATGTTAATTATCTATTTGTAACAAAAACAATTATATTCTATGAGTAAAAATGGAATAATATTATTGTTATTGGCAAATGGATATTGGGACAATGTAGGATACTGTACATACAAAATTGGCCCAATTATAATTTCTGAAAATCGCCTTAAATCTCACATCTTACATAGTTAATATAGTAACGTTACAGCAACCGGGAAGCCGTCAATGCCCGGGTCACCTTGACACGTTGTTCAGTTCCTTTTACATAATAAACTACTGTAATATATCTGCAAACACAAGAGGCACAGAAATGCATTCAGTAGATACAATTTAGGTAGAATTGCATAAATAAACATCAAGCAATGTAATGTTAGTATTACATTACTGTAATAACATTTGAGTAACAATAAGTTTTCTTAATAAATAAACAAGTTGTTAGAGGTTCCTGGTGCTACTCCCATACTGCATCAGGCAAACATTCTCACACTCTTAAAGTCAGCAAACTTTCTATAGTTTTCCAAGGTTTTCATTTATACTCTTCTACACTTAATTTAAAAAAAAATTGCATTAATTTTGGCCCATCTGAAGTAACTACTTACAATAATTTATAATACATTCTTTCCTAAGATAATTTCCCCTGGTCATTACCTAACTAGGTAATAACTTAGGTAACCCGAGAGGAGTGAAAAACCCAAAGTGTAGTTTAGGAGTAATGAGCGCCTGGTCCAGATACTCTCTGAAAGACCCGCCACAACCCCCAAGCTGTGAGCAATGGCAGATGACGCCCAGGTTGTTCCTCCCGCCAGCACCTCCACCAGGCTCTCGCCGCCCAGGACACCTACGGGATAATACTACCACCACCACCACGACTCTCCACACCCTTAGGAATGTTTTAAAACTTGGCGCCAGTCTCACCTTTAGCCAACACCGGCGCCACTACAGAATTTTCCCGCGAAACGGTCGTCTCCGGAAGCCGCGTCGTATCCAACACTGTTCAATATTCACCAACTTTTCAACACATTAAAATAAACCGCGAAAAATTATCAAACATATAAAAGACATTTCTGACAGCTAATTGCTTTGCAAAATTAACATATGATTTAGTCTAAGTTGCTATATGTACTGAATATGTTGTATAAATGTGGATAATGTTAAGTGTAACAAAGTAGCGAGGAAGTGTTGATGTGGGAGGAGAAGACGCGCGCCCCGACAACGATCACTCACAGCTTTACACTCTCTAGCGGGGTCACATTAACGTCTAAGGCTGCGCACTTCCTTACTTATAACAAAAAACACAATCATCTAATCTTTCTTACTTTTGCAGTTTATCAAATTGAATGTGTATGTAAAATACATATGCACACAAGTACACACACAAAAAAACAGAATAGTGAAGTAGGCACTGAGGGGGACATGTTTACAACGTACAAGATACATTTTACCTGAATTTACCTGACGCACACTATCTCTACTAGCCTCGATGAGGACAGGAAGGAAGTAATTATCAAAAGAAGGCACCAAACCGGGAAGGCTATGTAGCACCATCAAATGTGCGGAATAATCAGAGGGCGCTAAATATATCACCAAGGATGCCAATACGAGAACAAAAACGCATTAGGCGAACGATATCAAAAGTATCCGAGTCACCAAGAATTCCATTGAGGGACAGGCGACCGCGAGGGGCGGTCGGAAAGCGAGACACACGCTCGTCCTGGAAGTCAGGACATTCAAGAAGGACATGCACGACCGTAAGAGGGACAATGCAACTGGGACAATAAGGAGCATGGCGGCGCTCCATCAAGTGACCATGGGTTAAGCGAGTATGGCCAATACGCAACCTCGCCAGAGCTGTTTCCCACCGCCGGTTACGGTGGCAGGAGGACGGCCACGAGGAAACACAACATTTAAGAGTACGAAGTTTGTTACCAGTAACAGACGACCAAGAAGCCTGCCAACGGGTAAGGATGGAGGAATGGATAACCGAGTAAAAGTCGGAATATGGAATACCTTTACGAGAGATGGGATAAGAATGGACAGCTTCCTTGGCGGCAGCATCCGCACGCTCATTTAAAGACACACCAATATGGCTGGGAACCCAACAAAACTCAACCGACTTAAATTTACTATGAACAAGAAACAGCCAATGCTGGATCTCGACAACTGCTGGATGAACCGGATTAAAGGACCCGAGAGCCATGAGGGCACTACGCGAGTCAACAACAACTACAAAGGAAGACTGACAACGAGAAAGCAGGAGACAAAGAGCATAGAGAATAGCATGAAGCTCCGCTGTAAAGATGCTAGTCTCCGAAGGTAAGCGACACATAAGTGCGATCAGGAAAAACAACAGAGTAACCAACACCTTCCGCAGACTTAGACCCATCGGTGAAGACAGAAACGGAGCGGGAGTGAGAAGAAAAGTGCTCAAGGAAAAGGCGTTTTAAAACCGTAGGAGGGGTAAAAGCTTTAGTGATGCGAGTCAAGGATGTACAAAACTGCGGAAGGGGGACTCTCCACGGGGGCAAAGAAGGAACAACACGAGGAGAAACATTGGAAACACGAACGGAAAGAGAATCCTGTAAGCGAGATAACCGGACAGAAAGAGAGAGGTGGTGAAGAGGATGAGGACAGGAAGCCGGTGGCCTATTGGCTCCTTCCATGTGTCCTGACGGAAGGTCCTTTGACAGGATCCGATTATCGAGCAGCATTTGAAATTCAGCAGTATTTTGGCATTTACGGCTTCGGCGGGGTAGGCGATTCCATGGGTTTATAACCCTGTGGGTAAAAAGGCATCTCCTATTTTCTGTCCTACATTGTGGCGTGTTGAGCTTGAGACCGTTGCTCCCTGTTTGTCTTACATCTGACCATTTAAATTTACCTGAGGACCAATAATAGTATCTGGCTAACTGGCTGTAGCGAGTAGATTATCCCAATAATATACTCGCTCCAAACGCATTAGCCTAATGAGAGAAGTAAAGTTCTTCTTAGTACTAATTATGGAACTCAAATCTTTCCCTACTTTCAATTTACATTCCTGTCACCCTTTGGAGAACGGTGAGGTGTTGCCCGAGCATGTAAGCAGCAGAGTAGCCAATAATAACTTACCACTTACGGGCTATTCATGCCCGTGCCACCTCTTGGGTGGTTTAATCTTTATCAATCAATCGAATAATAACTACAGCCACTCTCTTGGTCAAAACAGGTGTCCAGCAGCTGGACACCCTCATAAAGACTGTCAAACAGTATCCTTCCCCGCGATAACAGCTTGACGATTAAATGCAACCTCAGAATACTGAAAAGAATTACTGAACAAAAATTTTTACCACTTACGGGCTATTCATCCCCGTGCCACCTCTTGGGTGGCTTAATCTTTATCACTCGAATAATAACTCACGGGAGTCATCTCCCGTCACGCAGGGTGCAGTTGCACATCCACAGATCTCCAGTATCAACTCTTGATACTGGTAATGGCTCAAAAGAGCCACCACTTACAGGCTATTCATGCCCGTGCCACCTTTTGGGTGGCTTAATCTTCATCAGTCATCAATCAGAATAATAACTAGTCTACTTTCAAGTGTGATCTAGAACAGACACTTGCGAGATACTGTACCGACTCTCAGTGTGCTCAACTCACACCATTGCTCACCAAGGTATCACCTACATACTTCTGTATACTCGACCAAATATATATATTATCTTAGTGTCTGTTTATTGTCATCATACTTTACGTAACAATAGAACAGTTACGTGGGTGACCCAGTGAGTGAAAAGAACACCTAGTCGCAAACTAGATTTTCGTCATGGATTTATCTACCAGGTTTCCAGCATACAATGCAGATGAACCAGAATTTTGGTTCATGCAGATGGAGGCTGTTTTCGACCTTCACAAAATTTCGACTGAGAAAGCCCAATATGCCTGTACCCTGCCAACACTTCCCTCGGAGGCTATGCACACTGCCTCCGCTGTCATCACCGCACCATCACCAGACACCAGGACGTACACCGCATTGAAGGCCGCTCTTCTACAGGCAGCGATGAAACGCCGCATTCAACAAAGGGACCAACTCCTCACTAACTAAAGATTAACAGACAAAACACCAGCCCAGCTTCTGCGGCATATTCAATATGTAATGCATACCGCAACTGGCCCAGCCCCCAGCGAGATTGTGAGATCACTCTGGATACAACTTTGTCCAAAACCCATTCAACTGGCCCGATTCAGTATGGCTGACGACACCCCATTAGCCCAGCTAGCTACACTGGCAGACCAGCTTCATACGACGTCTGATAACGCTACGCTGTCCCATCCCAGTGTTACACAGCAGGCTACAGACACCCAACAACTCGACGTCCTCCAGAACCGGCGTTTCTTCCGCCCAGGGAGGATGTACCGCGCGAATCCAATATCAGTCTTTAGGCGACAGCGAGAACACCGAGGAGAGCTTTGGTACTACCACCAGAGGTTCGGACACCAAGCCCGCAACTGTAGGGCTCCTTGTTCCTGGTCGGGAAACTATTTTGGCGGGGACTGTTAACGGCCAGTGACCCCGCCATTTCAAACACTACACTGCTCTACATATCTGACATCATAACCAAACGCCGTTTCCTCGTTGACACAGGTGCAGCAGTTAGTGTGTTGCCTCCCCCACTGGTCAAACCAACCCGTACTCCTGGTTTGGACTTACGTGCCGCCAATGGTACGTCCGTCCGTACATATGGGACCCGCGCCCTGGTTCTCGAGTTCGCTTCTCTGGGTCGCTTTACGTGGACTTTCCTCATAGCGGATGTGGAACAACCCATTCTTGGATGGGATTTCCTGCAACACCATCGACTTATTGTGGATCCCGCAGGTGCAGTACTTCGAGCCTCTCCTAGTACCTCTACACAGGTTAACAGCGTCACCCCAGTCGTATCTATGGAACTTCAAGCACTCCTGGATGAATTCAAAGATGTGACCCAACCCGCCAGCCCTCGACCAGAAGTGCAACTTTCTGATAATGGAGGAATAAGACACCGACAGCATTGGGACCTATTTATTTAATTTTTTAGTAGTAACAAAATAATTAAATTTTTTCAGACCATGTTAATGAACAGGTAACTTGTATAATTTTACAACAGCATAAATACATGTATAACTTGGCTACAATGACTTAATAACATTAATATATATGCTTATATCCGGTAACTAAATAGAACATGGTCTGAAGAACGCGGAATCCTTATTAACTATTGGTACAAGTAAGGCAAACGTTTAACATAATTTTTAAGTAGAATCGGGGCTTAAAGAGTAGCATATAGTGGCCTAACACATGACATAAATAATGTGGCAAATCCCAGACATAATGTGAAATGGTAAATTACTAGTAGCTGTAGAATACACCTATAGGACAAATTTAACATTACTCTTACAAGTGAGAGTAAGTAGCTGCGGACAGCGTAATACTTAGGGGCCGGCGCTGCACCCCCCTGTTGACCAACAATAAAGGACAAAGTACATAGGACTGTGCGTAGGGTTATATTGCCGCTGAACATTGGAAGGGGAGGAGGGTGGGAAAATTTTTTCTAAGACTTGTGAAGCGGAGCGAGGCTGGAACAAGAAAGAACGCATGACCCCTCCTCTCTGCTATATATAGGCCCCCCGCGGCGCTCCGCGCGCTGCGCTGCGGATCGCGCTGTGCAACTGTCTTCTCCTCCATCAGAAATTCCTCCGCATTCCTACATAATGCAGCGGTTATATACGATTACGCATCACATTACTACAACGAGAGCACCTACCTTCGCCAGACCACGCCCCCTGGCACCGGAACGATTGGCGGTAGCACATGCTGAGTTCAACAAGCTACAGGAGGCAGGAATAATCCGCCTTTCGAACAGTCCATGGGCTTCACCTCTCCATATGGTCCCGAAAACAGCCCCAGGGGAATGGCGCCCTTGCGGGGACTACAGGGCTCTCAACGTTCGTACTCTGCCGGATCGCTACCCAATACCACACATCCAGGATTTCTCACTGGGATTGAACAACACAACCGTTTTCTCGAAAATTGACCTTGTGCGGGCATTTCACCAGATCCCTGTAGAACCGGCAGACATTCCGAAAACAGCGATTACAACACCTTTTGGACTGTTTGAATTCGTCCGGATGCCTTTTGGTCTACGGAATGCAGCCCAAACATTCCAACGCTTCATCGACGAAGAAGTTAAGGACCTTAC